TCCTTCTCATCTTCTATTTCTTCACTTTTCAAAATTTTTCTACTTTTATTCTCTCATGCCCCACTCTCCTCTATCTTACTAGTGGAGTCATAACATTTTATTATTTCAATAGCTAACTTTCTGTTATCGCTGTTGAATTTTTTTCTGTTGTTAGAAGAAGTACAGTTGTGACATTAGTAGATATGTATGTCAATATATGGTTAGTCTCAGTGTGTGAACTATATTTGTAGATCATCTTAAAAAGGCTAAGGGTGACACATTATTAGTTCTTAGGGTATGTCAATATCATTTGTCTTTGATGCCAGTCTTGTTGCTGATGTATTTCATCAGCAGAGTTGTTAGTGTCAATGGGTAAGTCAATATCTTGAATATGTTTGTGTCATTAAGAATACTCTGGTCCATTCCTAGAGCACTGGGAGCTGAGCCACTTGTACTGCATCCTCCCCTTCAGAATTAATGTTGGTGATCAGAGGTTGGGGCAGAGGCAGCGGCTTATACTTAGCCAAACTCAGGGTGAAAAGCAGACACCATTAAAGAGATCGCCATAGTCCACTAGAAGGGCCCACAGACTTCAACACAAAACACAACAAAAAATAAAAACACACAAAAATTAGAAATATGAGAAAACGACGCAATGAAATGCTTTTGAAACATTCAGTTACCCAGAGATTCTCTATGTTACATGTAAGGGTAGACAATCAACAGCCACACAGCTGCATTATTTGAAAGGGTGATATCGAAGATTAAAAAAGCCTAGATAAGTGATGTGCTTGGTGAGCTCAAACAGTTCATAACTAGATAGTGTAATTAATAAAGAGATCAGTGATTTTTTAGAAAACATTAATAGAAAGCTAGATGAACAACAACAACAAAAAAATGATACCAACCCTGAATGGCCAGCTTAGCAAAGAATTAGAGCCCCTGACAAGGTAACAAGCGGAAATCTGAGAAGAGCAGCAGTTATTTGTCCCATAGTTACTCTCCTCTCATTGCTGGGACAAATACCTGATGCTCAAGTGAAGGAAGGAAAGGTTTATTTAACTCACAGTTATTCAGTCCTTGCTCAGCTGGCTCCAAGGGCAGAGAGGCACATGGCTGAGGGCAGCCTTATATGATGGCGGCAGCAAAGAGCAGAGAGAAAAATGGGGGAGGAGCAGCAACAATAGCCACAGAGCAAGTCTGTCTCCCTTATGTTATATTCAAGCTATCCACCTCAGGCTGGGTATAGTACTCACACCCATAATCCCAGCCTTGGGTCACCCATAATTCCAGTGGATTATGAGTTAATCACACACACTCTAGAATGACTAAACTACAACGACTAGACCCCAATGACTACATGAGGCTTTGGGGGACACCTAGAGACAAACCATAATGAACACTTCTAGTTACTAGAGAAATACGAGTTTCCAACTCTCATTTGCCTTATTGCAGCAAGAAAGGATGGTCACAATCAAGAAACCAAGTAATAATAAATGCTTTTGAGGCTTCCAGGAAGAGGGCACCCTTGTACACTGTTGGTGGGGATGTCCCCTAGTATGTCCATTATGGAAATTAGTGTGGGGACTAAAATCTTAGACTAGAAATTCCATTCGAGCCAGCTATCTTCCTTCTAGGTATCTTCCCAACGTGTGGAAGGCATCACACTGCAATGATATCTACATACCCATTTTTATGACAGGACAAGCTAATAATAGCTAATCCGGAAAGCAGCCTGTATATCTGCCAGCAGATGAATGGATTGATAAAATGTCACTTATGGGTAGTGGAGAGCTACTTTGCCATACAGAAGAGTAAACTTGAGTCATTTGTAGGCAAATAAACTTCAGTTGTTTGTAGGAAAAACCTTGAAACCTCAGTGAAGTAAATCAGACACATGAATTTAAGTGTTGCGTGGTTTCTCTTATGCGACCCCCAAATATAACTAGAGAATAAAATAAAATATGAAAGGAGTGGTCTCGAGATAGCTCAGTGGGCTGAAATGCCCACTTGGGCAAGCTTAAGCAGGCGCCCAGGGACTGCGGCTCCATCCCTGGCACCACACGCAGCGCCAGCCCTGCCCCCAGGGTAGGCTGAGCTGGCCACAAAAAAAGAAAAAGAAAATAGGAGAGAAATCTTGTGAATAAAGGAAAGGGACCAAGATATGGAGGGAAGGGGACAAGAGAAGGGAAGACAGTGAAAACAGGGTAAAATGGGCTATGTACCTGTTCCAGCTCTCCACAAAGAATGGAGACTGTGTACTGACAATGTGGATGATTAAAAATAAAGCAATGGGGCTGGCCAGATAGCTCAGCAGACTCAAGTGCCTGCCGAGGCGGGGAGCAGTGGCTGGGGTTCAATCCCCAGTGTGCTGTGCCGGCCCCACTCCAGGGGCGCAGAGACAGCGATTGAGACTGGGCGTGGTGGTGCACCTATAATCCCATCGCTTGGGAGGCTGAAAACAGGAGGATCACTATGAGTCCGATCTGTGTAGTGAGACACTGTAGTACTGTACTTAATACATTTAAAAATAAATAAAAATGTAGCAATAAAAACACTGTAGTGATAGTGTCTTATGAGGATATTTGAGCTATACAAATAATAAAATGACTATATGATAATACATGGCATAAAAAAGGAATGATTTCAACTACAATAATTTTTAGTTGGTGTGATTTTATAGTCATAAGTATATTTTCTTTCTTAAAAACATTCTTTCTGTAACACACTACCTGCTGAGTTATAAAATTAAAATTTTATAGAAAATAACTAATAGTCTCACTACATGGGCCAAAAAATAACATAACTTTTTTTTTGGTGGTACTAGGGATTGAACTCAGGATCTTGAGCTTGCCAGGCAAGCACTTATTCTACTGAGCTGTCTCTCCAGCCCCTCAACATACATTCTTCCTGCCTTGTTTTTTCTGTGTACACTTTAGCTTTGTTTTAAAAATGCAACATATTATTTTATGTCCTTTCCTTTAATCCAATATATCATGAAGAAAATTCTTTTTAATTCAGGGCTCCCCTATACCATACTTTTACAATGGCGACAGAATATACCATTGTGTGACTGATAGACTTTTTATTTATTTCCCAGTTTTCCATGATGTTATTATGAAATACTAGAGTACCGCTTTTCTAATTATAGTTAGAAGTTGAAGAATTAAAAATCAGGCAAGGTGAAGTTATTTAGTGGAGTGAATTCGGGACTTAATCTGGAGTCTTTGTCCCACATCCATCTGGGACTACATTCAGTTAGGTAATTTTGAGTTTTACTATTTAATATCCTCATATAATAATTTATCTGGCTTTCCAACTGAGCATTTGTTTTGATATAGTGGCACATCGGTTCACAAGTTTCCTTCATCCGTGACTCTGGGGAGGGTGGTTGCGCTTGTATCTGGGCAGGGTAGGCAGCCAGGGCTGTGTGCCCCACCACAGTGGAGCTGTTGAATGCAAGCAACGTTTTGCTGAGCACTGCTTTCTGCAAACGGAATCGTTCACAAACAGGGCCGATTGCGAGGCCAAGCGCTGCCGTGTTCCCCAGCTGCATTTCTTAGGGCGTCATAGTGAATCAGGAATAGAGCTAAGGCTCTAAGGTCCTTCAATAAAATTACATCCATTTACAGTATTTGATCTTTGTTTATCTCTCTAACATTAGGCACATAGATTGCAACTGATTACAGTCTTTATTTCATAACAGATTCATACTATTGCCCTGCATAGAGCCATCTAGTTCTCTACACATGCAGTGGGCTTTAAAAATTATATCCTAGACAAGAATCTAAGTTATGATTTTAATAGAAACACATATTTTACTTATTAGCATATCTGCAGAACCTACCGAAGGACCTGCCCTTCTCCAGTGGTCCTGTTAATGCATGTTGGGATGGTTTGCACACAGCTCACTGGTTTGCTTGGTTGAGCATTTATTAGTAGAAAAGATTCTATTACTAAAGCTTGCTAATATTCAGACATTAGCTAGAGAGAAAGGAAATGAAAATAAGCTCACTCTACTGAAGTTGGGGAAGGCTGTGAATAGAGAATAAAGCCATCATAGTCAAGGCCACAGTGACAGAGTGAAGAGAACACTTATTAAATGTGAAATTTTAAAAAATGTATAAAGCCCACATCATTTCATAATGTGATGAAAGCATAATGATTGGAATAGTGTGTGGTCAAGGAGCACATAGCTGGCAGCCCACACATTGGGCTGGATGTTAGAGGGAGCCCCTGGTAAGCACTGTGCTTTTCCACGGAGGCTCTGAAGCTGAGAAATGTTAGATACTCCTCGTCATCGGCAGCTCAAGGGTTCACACTGGGATCTGTCTGATTGCAAGGAGTTGAGGCTTTAATGCAAAATGGCAAATTGTCCCCAAATGGCAATGTTAATACAAACATTGTATTTAGAAAAGCATGAGAAAAATTCTCCTTGGAAATTCCTTTATCATTCAAAATTTTTCTCAATTAAGAAGGAAGAGTGTTATTTGAGAAACCACGTGAGGATGCACACACTAAGCTCTAGAACTCCCACCAGTTCTGATTCCATGGCCTTATGCTTCCTGACTAATGGAATATCTTTAAGGTCCCTGTAACATATATATTTCCAAGACAGCAAGTGGATTCCATGCATTGTAAATGTTTTTGCAAAAGCTGTTTTTTTTTCTGTCTTGTTTTATTTTGTTCTCACCTTCCCTTCTGGGGTTGTTGGCTGCACTAGATTTCTTTGTCTCTTTCTGGATTCGTTGATGACCTGTGTTGCAATGTGCATTTTCCCCCTCCCTACTGGTTACAGAATTATAGTCGAAGACGCAGTGGACTGGAAACCCCTTGAGAAAATCGTCCTTACATCCTCTTCTTATGAGCCGCATGAAGCAGAGGTCCTCCCTGTGAGAGAAGTCAAGGGCCACCAGATTGGGGTTCGTGGGCGTCTCCAACACCGGCACATCGGTGAGGCTTTGAGGTTCTGACTGCAGTTCAGCACTGAGTGCCACACGAGCATGCATTCAGCCTGTGTCTGGAGTTCTTGCGTCTGCTCACTACTCAAGGGAAAGACCTTACCGAAGCCCTGGGCTTATTCTAGTAGGCTTATCTTCTTTTTCTTTATTCATTGATTTTTTTTTATTAATATATGTCTGGGCTACCTATTCAGTACATTTGCCATTGGGAATTGGCATTTATACATCATGATTCTTTTTACATTCCTCTTTATTTCGTTCACCTCCCCCAACCTACTTCCCATTTCTTCCCATTTCCATGAAGACTGTGTTTCCTATCTTCTCTTATATCTTGCTCTTTAAATTATCTATACTTTGCATTCCTCATACAAGAGAAAAAATATACAGCATTTAACATTCTGTGTGGTTCAATTTCACGTAGCACATGGTGTCACAGTGAACCCGGTGTCTTGCAGGTGACCCACATCTTTATGGGTGAGCACTACGCCTTCATGTATACACACACCACATTTCCTGCATCCATTCATGTGTTTCTAGGTGGGTCAGCAGCATCCACGATTGAATGACTAAGAGTGGTGCTGCTCTAAGTGAGGGTACACTGTATGTGTCACTATGACATGAGATCTTTCAATCTTTGTTAGTCTTATTACTTAATTTTTAAATAATAAATAGATATGAAGGATTTAAAAATTCAGTATGCAAAATATAAAAGAAAGCTTAAAAATTTCACTCAAGGTCGCCGGACAACCTTTGGCACTGCTAGACTAAAATTTAGACACTGAGTTTCCAGTTCATTTCCTGGAACATTGGACCATATAACCTTAGAGCATGGTAATTATTGAAAATTGTTAATTATTGTATAAATACATTATTATATTGACTACTGCTACTATCTCTAAAAATAAGGAAGATTCTAATACCTTTTTATAAAAACAAATAATAAATGTTTTATGTAATTTATTGAATTCAACTTTACTGTACATAAATAGCAAATAAACACAATCTTCCTAGTCTGGTTCAATAAATAAATCAACAGGAGATACAGCCAATTATAATAACACCTGTAAGTTAAGGAGTTAGAGAATATTCCTTGTATGTGATATGTGAGAGGAGAGTACACATTTTCCCCAGGACTCTGTCAAGTTCTTCTTGTGTCATAGTCCAAGGGTCATGTACTCTCCACACTTCGTGCTTTGTTTTTGTTTCTGAGATGAAGTGTCCCAACGTTCTTGCTGGCCTTGTACTCCAGGCTGGCATAGGCCGCCTGCCTCAGGTGCCTGAGGAGCTGGGGGCACAGAGCTTGGCACAGGGGTACATTGATATAAGCCCTGCTACTTGGGAGACCGAGGCAGGAGGATTGTGAGTTTGAGTCCAGTTTTGGAAACTTAGCAAAATTTAGTCTCAAAGAGATTTTTTTTTTTTAAAAGAAAGGTCTGAGCCTGTAGCTTCATAGTAGAGCATTTGCCAAGTATATGAAGCGCAGGTTCAGTTCCTAGTAGCGATTATGGCAGAGAAGAGAGAAATCTTCAGTCTTCCCCAGTGAAATGTGAAATGCGAAATGCTCACGGAGCCCATGAGCACGGGGAGCAGAGCAAGGCCCCTTTGTCCCAAGCTTGGGGACAGAATTCAGGCTGTGCATGGCTGAGACCCAGCACACGGCCATGCTGCTTGCTTGGGCTGCTGCTTCTTTTCTCTTTCTAGTCCAAAGCTGCTTCTGCTCTGCCACCGCTGTGGCTCAGCTAGGATTCCCCACTCAGAAAGGAGGCGCACGGACCCCAAGTAGCCAGAGAGCACAGGCCCGCACTGACAGGCGGAGGGAAGGAGGCCGGGGACCTGGTAATTGGACCGCTCCAGCCTGACAGCTCTGCACAGTGGCCTGTCCCAGGCCCCACAGCTATTGAGAAGAAATGAATTCTCCCTCTAACGCTCACTAGATCCCAAGGAGAGACAAGCGGACAGGTGTTTCATTTCTCAGCTGCCTGAGGACAAGCAGAGCTTGGTGTTGGTAGGCCTTCCAAAGGGAAAGGAAGATTTCATTTGTGAGATGCAGTGGTCCCCAGCTAGCAGTTTCCAAGATAGATTTTAAAACTTTGCCCCCAACTCCTGTTGTTCTAGGAAGTCCCCACGTCCTGGAGGATGGCAGGCACATTCGTTTGGCTGCTGAGGTTGGACTGCTGACCCGTAATATACAAATCCAGTCGGACACATCCTGTGGTGGGACTCTACTGGTGGGGTCTTTCAGGAAGTCTCCCGCGGAGGAATTCTCAGGTAAATAAAAATCGAAGTTACCAGTTGGGAGCTAGGCATCTGGGGCACTCAGAAATTCCAAATGGCGAGAACTTTTGCTTATAATACATAATGCTCAAATGAATGCAGTTCCTTTGTGTTCCAAGAAGCTATAAATTTTCAGTTCTACCTTGTGTTTAATTGTGGTTTGTTTATTTATTATTTTGATATCAGGCATTGAACTCAGGACCTTGAGCTTGCCAGGCAGGCACTGTGCTACTGAGCTATCTCCCTGTCTAACTGGTACTTAATTATCAGTGTGATGTTAAAATAGTGTACTTGAATCAGCACATATGCACATTTTTACAATGTGTTTTCTGAAAGAAAACATCGTAAGCGGATGTCAAATTTCCTCTGTCTTGAAGTTATGATCATTTAATGACCATGTGAATTTTACCTTGTTTCTGAATTTCTCTGACCCTTTCCGAATAGCATGCTACACTGACAGACAATAGCTCTTGCCATAATGAATGGCTTGCATTTAATAGGATGATTTCCATATTACGGAATGATTTAAGGATTATATCAATCTTTTTTTCAAGCTCTTGCTCTCCTAGAATGCCGCATTGTTTCTTGAATATTATTCCAAAGTTGCTTCCTGGTTAAATGGTTTGGCAAAGGGTGTCACTGTAACTCCATCTTCCAAAGTGATCGTGCACATGAATATAAAAGCTCCAGAAAGCCTGCAATAAAGGCCCTAACTGCTTCCCAGATATATTCAGCGTGGGGCATGTGCCTGGCACGGCTCTTTCACCAGGCTGCCCAAGGCAATGTTTGGATCTCCAATCACATGTTGTAGCTTCTGGTCTGTGCAACAAGCCCTCTCTCCATAAATACCTTCAGGAATTTTTGTCAAAGGTGATTTTCCCCACTAGGAGACAGCCAGCTATGCCTTAAGACATTTCTAACTGTCTGTTCTCAGGAGAGCTGCTGGCATCTAGTGGGTAGATGCCGACTATCTTACCATCCTTGAGACAGCCACCTGTAAGACAGGGCTACCCGGTGCAGTGTCAGTGCCGTGCAGGGGGAGAAGTCCTGCTAGAGAAGCCTTAGATCAAGGCTGGCTTGGTCTTCCGCACATGGGACTGTCCAGAAGTGGATGAAAATGGGGGCTTAGGAAGGACAGAGCAGTGCAGGCTCTCTGTTAACCAGCACCATAGGCCACGCTAGGAATGGTGACAGGAACAGGGCAGGACCTGGCATGGCTGAGCCTGAGGACGGTGCCGGGTGAGCCGCAAGACTGAGCTGATTGTACCCCGCCAGCACTGCTAATCTAGGACCCTTAAATCTTCCTCAGGGAAAAGGGAAAAAGAGACGCTATGTATCAAATGTATTTTAAGGACCAAAACTGTGCCCGTTTTACACAGTGGAAATTTTGTCTTATTTAATTCTATTGTTTCTGTAAGAGAGGTATTTTATATTCCTGTTATAGGAGTCCGAATCTATAGGACAGTTGATAGTCTCTTCATTAACTTAAATCCTTGAGAGCAATGTTGTCTACTTTGGCCACATGATAATGGCCATGTGTTAGGTGCTCAATAAGTATGAATGGATAAAACGAATGAAGAGGAAGAGAAGTCGTCTTACCAGCAAATGGCATGTTCAGGCCTAACTCTGAAGCTTTTGTTACATAAATGTTTGCTTTCATAATAGTTTTTGATTTACAGAAACCTTGCAAAGACAGCGTAGAAAATCCCTATATCTTTTTCACCTACTTTCCTCTAGTACTGTTAATATCTGACATAAGACTATTACTTTTGTGAAAACCAACAAATCAGCATTGGTACATTAATATTAATAAAAGTCATTTTTACATTTCACCAAATTTTGTGTTGGTGTTCAAATCCAATTCAAGTTCCCACGATGCCTGAAGAGCTCTTGATTTTTTTAAAAAATGATGTGTTCCAGAGCCTGGATGAGATTGGAAGTGCAGGTGTCAGTCTGTACATCTACAGGTATCGATTAGTTATAGAGCTGAAAATTAGGCCAGCTCAGTTCCTACCTTTATGTTGAAAAGCTCCATTATTATCCTCCTTCTTACCAATAACATCCAAAAGGGAGGTTTTTAGAATTGTAAATTCAAAAGGAAAAACAGAAAAGCATTTATGAATAAAAGCACTATTTATTTCTTAATTTAAATCCCTAGGATATTGTTAAGTGCTTGCTACTAATTAGTTTTGGTCACTGGTTAATAGGCATCAAATTAAAATGATCTTGAGCAATTTAAAATTATGAATGATAACTATACAATTGTAAGACATTAAAATACTGTGGATATGACACCTTCCAAAGATGACAGAACTACTACACATAATAGAAGTTAAACAGCGCATGCATAGATTCGTTCTTACACTCGATGCCCTTTCTGCCAGAGTGTACAAAGGTCAGATTCAATAGAATTTCCAAGTAGAAGCCACTGACCATCGAAGGAAACATTCTAAACATACCCAGCATCTGAAAGGTGTTTTATCACTGTGAATATTCTGTAGCACGCGTCATGACCCCTCAGTCAGTGTGAACTCAGAAGTTTACATGCTGAAAATTCCATTGCTTGATCATTGTGCAACACAAACTTTATTAAAAGAGAAAAAGACCAAATAACAAGATCAAAGACAAAAACAGAGCAACACACAACAATAAAATGATAGAATTTCAAAACAAGAATAGAAAATTAGCAAGGATGGTTGTATTACAAATGGTTATCATCAAATTTGTTGCTTAGATTACCAGACATAGGCATGCAAGATAGGTATGCAAGATTTTTTTTTACTTTTTAAAAAAATAATTTTATTGAGAAACAAATAGCAATGAGACAGTTTCAAAACCGATTAGTAGGACAGTTTCAATAATTAATACATTGCATATTGTTGCCCAACAGTGTTTGTGGACAGGATATCATGTCTGCATCTTGTACAATGAATAACCACTAAGGTATGCAGGATTGATCAAACAAACATTAACTCTTTCTTCCAATAAATCTTAATTTTTCCTTGCTTTTTATTTTTGGAAATTTCTCTTAAAAAGAATGAAAAATAATAGATAAGACTTTAGAAACAATACACATTTTAAAAAATAGGATGAAAGGTTTTCAACAGTGGTTATTTGCACACTGCTGTCCTCAGTGTAGTTGCTCACACTACAGGTATTAGAATATAAAATTGATCGAAGGAAACATTCTAAACATTAACTGCTCTTCTGTAAAAAACTGATAAAAATTAGTAATACAATAATCTTAGCTATCCTGTACATACACTCATATGACTTTCTCCTTTTTTTTCACAAATGGTTTTTTACTTTTTCCCCACAAGTGCTTGCTTCCTTGTGGCTACAAGCTCTCGAGTGTACCAGATTCTTCCCTGTGAAAAGGCAGCAGAGTCACAGATGGCTTGGGCTGGGCCACCACGGAGCTCCACATAGTTACTAAAGCTGAAATTTAAACTTCAAATGCACGGCGTCTCCCTGTCTTTTGAGAAGCAGGCGTCTACCTTACTATCGTCACAACCTCCACAACTACAACACAAGGAAGGAGTGAAGTCACAAATTGCGCCCTACATAGCGGAGGCTACGTGGCCAGTTGCTGCCCCTGGCGTTGCCCCAGTACTTGGCGCCGTGCCGAGTTGCTCCCTTCACACCACGAAGGCTGCCACTCGTGCTAGAAGTGCCTGCCACACGGGGTTAGTGGTACAGCTTCTCGCTCGTGTGGAAGGCCGTGTCTTAGGCTGGTGTTTAGCTGTTTTTCTGCATCAGTTTTCATCAGCAAAGTAAGGAGAATAATTGTAACTCTCTCTTAGGGTTTTTGTGAAATTAAGGTCATCTGTCTGTCCATCCGTCTATCTATCATCTATCTTCTATCTATCTATCTATCTATCTATCTATCTATCTATCTATCTATCTATCTATCTATCTATTCTTCTATCCATCCATCCATCCATCTATCTGAATTAGAAAAAAGCTTAGTGTTTAACAGGCATTATATGAGAATTAGCTATTACAGTTATTAATTCGTATTAATTCACCTATAGTCATATAATTGTCTATTTCAGGTGTATATACATGGACTTTGCAATATTCTATTTTAAAATTAATAAACTAGTTGAATTTTATTCTATTTCAACAATATCTACTTTAAAAACTACAAATAAAATCTCCAGGAAGGTTAAATAAGGTGCTCTCTATGCTAGTATAAAAGCTGCAGAAAGTATTATTGATATGAAAATAAAGAAGAAGATACGGTGTGATTAGAATAAAAACATAGAAAAAGTGTTAGAGGGTCCCCAAAATGATTAAAATGATCTTATGGCTCTGTCATGCTTCATCAATAAGCATGTATAAGTGTCCCACTTGTGACATGAGTTGGGCTGGGGTAGAGTGTGGCCTTTGCTCCTCTTGAGACATGCCTGGAATGTGTTACAGAGCCGTCCATTACACTCACGCATGCCGTATCTTTGTGGAGTTGGCTGTGGCCTTTTTAGATGAGGTCACCGACACAGAGAGACTCCTCTTGACCTCGAGGGGAGGAGCCCCAGAAGCCATATTTCCTCTATTCTCATTCAAGTGCTGGACCCAACCATCAGACAAGCGCATGGGACCTTTAACACCTGAGCTAAATCCGAAACCTGTTTTCTCTGTCTTTATTCTCTCTTTCCTCTTCCTACACCAGCCACTTCTGGCTGCCCAGGCACTATTTTTTAGCCATCCATGTGATTACTTCCAGTGATTCGCATTTTTAGTGAAAATCTCTGATGTGTTAAGTTGGTCCTAGTGCTGAGTACACCAATTACATTTTAATTAAGAATCTGTGTTTTTCTGATGTCCCCAGTTGAACTATTTTGTGTTAGTGTGTTCTGTAGAGAAGAAAGCACCTGATGACATGCGTTTTGTTTGTAGGTGTTCTTCAATTTCTAAATGTGGAAATTTGCAACTTCGGGTCACCATTGTATTCGTCCATCGAATTCACTAATGTGTCCTTGGGAGCCTGGATACTGTCTTCCACTCTGCACCACAGCTGTGGTGGCGGCATCCGTGCTGCTGCCAGTCGTGGCATAGTCTTCAGGGACAACCTAGTGTTCAGCACAGCTGGCCATGGCGTGGATTTGGAGGGTGAAGCCTACTCTCTCACTAATAACCTTGTAGTGCTGACGACACAGTCAGCAGGGTCCACCGCGTGGGTGGCAGGGATCAAAGTGATTAGGGCCAAGGATGTCCTCCTTCGTGGCAATGTTGTGGCAGGATCCGAGAGACTTGGCTTCCACATCCACGGGTGCACGTGCTCCTCTGAGATGCTGTGGTCCAGCAACGTGGCCCATTCGAGCCTTCACGGCCTTCACCTCTACAAGAGCAGTGGAGCAGACAATTGCACCAGTGTCTCTGGCTTCCTGGCTTTCAAGAACTTTGACTATGGTGCCATGGTACAGGCAGAGAACCATGTGGAGCTGGAGAACATCACTCTGGTAGACAACTCCGTGGGGCTTTGGGCAGTGGTGTACGTGTCATCTGCTCCACAACACTCAATCAGAAATGCGCAGATCGTGATTAGGAACTCAGTCGTGGTGGCCACCAGTTCTTCTTTTGATTGCATTCTGGACAGAAGGAAGCCTCGTTCAGCCAACCTGACCTCAATGGGTCGAGCACCTCCCAACCCAAAAGGAGGCCGCGTTGGCATTCTGTGGCCTGCATTCACATCTGTGCAAAGCCAGTGGCCTCAGGATCCATGGCACAAAGTGAGAAATGGTCATTTGGTTTCAGGAATCATTAAACTTCAAGGTAGGATGTGTGAGTTTATGCAGTGTGGTCTCATACGTACATGCTTGTGGGGAATATTAAGCAGTGTTCTGAAATTAGATCAACAGAAAGTTACAGCATAGTTGAGTGCTTAGTCTCTAACTGACAACCTGCTGTCACTGAGAACCACAATGGTAGTTTATATATACGTGACAGCAAATGACCGCTGCCTGTCACACTGCCTTGTGCATCTTAGATTGCATAGAATTCTTTTACTTGATACACGACAACTGTCTTCCTAGTTGTTATTGCTCCTATTATACAAGTGAGGAAAGGGAGATACAGCAATGGTGCCTTACCTGAGGTTGCCTAGCAGCTCTTTGAGCCTCTACGGCTGCAATCAAAGTCTCACCGCAGTGGCTGGGGATACAGCTTAGCAGTGTATTTGCTTCCCTGGAAAGCACAAGGTCCCAAGTTTGATCCCCAGTACTGAAAAAAAAAAAGTTTCATCACAGCCTTGCAGTTTATTTCCTATCAGATCCTTTTGTGGCATTAAATTTACGCTGTATCACCTCCTCATTCAAGTGTATCTGGAAATTGGGCTGATTGTGTAAAATGAATGGATTTTGATTAAGTCTTTGATGAAGAATGTTTCTTGGAAGGCTTTCACAGGATACAGCTCTCCTATCTATTGCATACAATATCCATGTATTGAAAAAATGCAGATATTTTATATCAAGATTTATGTAAAATCCTGTGCGATCCTGGATAGAATATACTGACTCTTGGACATGCAATATTGAGAATATTTATTTGTATAATCTAAATTTGTGACTGGTGGTACACATGAGGCAATGTTGGGATGTATCTTTAAAATTTTTTCAGATGTCACTTTCTCTGGTTTTGTGAAAAGTTGCTATAGCAACGACCTCGATATCTGCATCCTGCCGAATGCAGGGAGTGCCGGAATGGCTCCCCCAGTCATAGCGGAGAGGACCAGGATGCTCCAGATGAGAGCCGCGAGCAAGTTCTATTTTCCTTCACGGCACCCAAGGTACCCCTTTTAGTGCTGATAAGAAACCATATCTATGAAATGTTTAGTAAATCTTTAAATTCCTAAACATTTAAAAAATGAAGTTATCAAAGGAATAACAGTAAGTTCTTGTAGAGCTGCCCTGATCGCTTGCCCTTCCTGTTATGGCTTTGCCCCCCTAAAGCCTCATGCTCGCATAGGTGGCTTTTCAGAGCTGGCTAGATTTCAGAGCCAGCTGGTGACACTGGGATTAAGGGTGTCTGGCACTAAATTAGTCCACTGATTTGCATTAGCATAGTTCTGGGGGTGGGCAGTATGAGCTTATGGCCGGGATGGAACATACAATAAAGTGAGAGAGAGAAGGCAGGGCTGCTGCTTCTGCTGCTTTCTGCATGGCTGTCTCCCGCCCGCTGTGCCATAGACAGTTTCTCCACGGTGTACTCCTTCCGCCATGTCACCCTGCCGTGGAGCTAGCTGACTAGGGGGACTGAAACACCTATAGACTGTGAGCTGAGATAAACCTTGCCTCCTCTCACTTTGAGGGTTTTGTACTTTGTCTCGGCCACAAGGAATGTAACTAAGACAAATGTCTTTTATGTAATTTTTGAAATATCTTTTACAAAGAAGCAGAGGCTGTTTTTCTTCCGGCTAAGTCTGCATTGAGCCACCTGACTTTGGCTAACCAAGGGCGGATGTTATTGAGTGAAATTTTATTTTTATTTATACCTTTTCTCCTAATTATACTTTTGGGGGGTATTTTCAAAGTGACTGGAAGCAGAATCACCCCATTTCTTCCTCTGTGACGGAGAACAGCAGCACTGAAGGGAAACTGGGAACTTGCGGATTGGAAAGAAACAAATTTGAGTCTGTTGCCCAGACCTTGGAAGCTACACAGCCAAGTATAGATGGATGTTGGCACTCAGACTCAGGTCCTTGGGCACCGGACCCGAAAGCTGTAGCCAAGGAGATAAAAACTACATGTGGAATCTTTTTCCTTAAAAAGAAAGGAAAGTTTGGATGTGAGGAGCAGGGAAAATGGGTTACTTTTACTTTCCTACAATATTAGAGAAACTGCTTTGATTAAAATCTGGGGCCGGGGAGATAGCTCAGTAGAATAAGTGCTTGCCTGGCAAGTGCAAGGACCTGAGTTCAGTCCCCAGTTCTGGCAAAAAAAAAAAA